CCCCAAAACCCCAAAACCCCAAAACCCCAAAACCCCAACCCTTCTATTTTATATTGATAGTATCCTTTATTTTCTTTTTTTAGATAAAATCTCTATTCTTTGAAGTATCTAGCTGTTGACTTTACTAAATCATGAAACTTTTTCTTTTGATTTTCATCATCCAAGAGTCCTCCTAAGTCCTTCTCATCAACTTGGTATTTCATTCACATTGTCTGAAGATTATTAATAAATGATTCAGCTAGACTGATCTTCATAAGGGGATCATTCTGTCTGAGAGTAGCGAGCCTTTTGCTTGTTTTTCCATTTACATGCTTTACCATTGACACTACTTCGTATCCTTCAATTTTTTCAGGAGAATAAAAATCTTCTGATTTTGCTGTTTCTTTAATATACACATCAGATCCGACTGCATTAAAAACCAAGGGTGCCATTTTCGGAAATACAAGAGTGATCATTTCTTTATCTAGTAAAGGGAGAGCATGAATTATAGCCAGCTGGTTTATTCTTCTTGCAAAGTTTAGCATTAAGAAATTCATCTTCTCGAACCATTTTTCCAAAAACAGCATGCTTTGCTTCTGATCTTGAGATTCAAAAATGTTCTTCCTGATATCTTCAAATATAACTATTCCTCTATTAACAAAGATCAATAGTTGAGTAATATAACTGCTTAGATGTTGCATTGATGGGTCAAAGTTGTCTGAAGCAATTTCATCTACTCCAATCATGAATGCCTTTTCTAAGATTGGCAGTAATACATCCTTGCTTTCGCTCATAGGATCTTCTATGTACTTCATAAATATTGTGATAAGGACTTTAACCAAGTGTTCCTTTCTCTCCATGAGATTAGAATCACTGCAGTCTCCTTGAGAAATCTCGACTTTGTTCCAGTGTTGCCATTGTTCCAAGAGGAACTCCAGACATGATTGAATTGTCAAAGAGTCTCCACTAAGAGGGATCAGATTGGATAGGATGTGTTCATGAATTATATCACTTGTTAAAACTGAAAATTTGGGACTTGAATTTGACTGCAAAAGAGGCTCGGCATATGTGTTAATGAATTGTTGACATATCTGACCTGCATTAGGATTATGCTCAAGGTCTGATATTCTTAGCAGATATAGCCAATGAAAGAACAAATCATAATCAATGCTCACTTGGATGTTGTGTTCAAGAAGTTTAAAATTTATCTCAAAAATCGAGAGAGAATCATGTGAAATTGAAATCAGATTCTTTCACATATCATAAAGAGCTTCTTTAATGAGAGGAGAGTCAAGACTGACTATCCTCATAAAATCAATATTTTTGAAATTCTCCAAAACTCCTTCACCAGAATTTTCTTTACATCCTTCAATCAATAATGTGATTAGGTTTACTATACCTTCCATATCTGCATTGGAGATTCGAACTCATTCAGGGCGTCGATACAGATCGGAGTTATATTTTCGAATAATTCTGTGTAACTAAGTTTTTCTTCGATCATTTTAACTATGTTTACAGATTCCTCACTATACACTGAGTTATGCTTATGAGTCTTCCTTTGCTCTTCAACTATTCTCAGAATGTCTCTGAAAGTTGTCATTGCAATGAATTTAACGACTAAATCTGTTGATTCATGAGAGAATAGAATGGTTCAAGATTTTGCAAGGTAATCTATGAGTGATTCAGCGCTCATTCTTCCAGCCCATAATGAAAGAAGTAGACAATATCTTCTTTTGAGAATTTTTGATGATGTATCTCCGATCCTTGTCTCTAAGTAATTTAGAATAACTCCAATGTCTAAGTAATCAGTGAATTGAGCTCCTTTATAGTCATAAATATTAGGAAGAATTCCAGCAAGACTGAGCAAAGCATCCTCAATCAGTTGTGGAAGGAGGCCCTGATATTCTTCTTCTGATGCTTCTCCTAGTTTATCATTTCAATAATCAAGTAAGATTTGATTTGGAGTTTGGTTTTCAAGAATAAACTGAATCTGCTCTCCTAGCCATGCTTGAGAATGTTCAGTGAAGAAAGTAAATATTTTATCACAAAGGACGTAAGCTATAAAATTATAGTTTGATTCTTTGTCTACTTTAGTATCTCTGCCATACTGCAATTCGTCTTCTATCTCAATAAAATTCTCTTTGTCATCCTCCCATAGATTAAGAGAGTCAAGTTTAAGATATTTTCCTGCCAGCAAGTTTAAAAGGTTCACAATGTTTTCTTGAGTGAATATATCCTGATAAATTCTAACGACTGTGTTGAATTCTTCTTGAAAGTTTTTATACTTAGCCGGAATATTGGAATAATTCATATTGCTAGATCCATCTTGGTTGTTAGGCTCCTCAGCTTCAACATGATTGTAGATTACTGTGTTCACCACATTATTTAATTGCCAAGAGAGCCACTTTTTGGCATTTATCATTAAAGCAAGTGTTTTTAGCCAGGATTGTTATTCAAGTTTCTAAGTAAGGTTTCAGGGAGGTATAAAACATCAAGGGCTCAGAGTATTGGAAGCCAGAGAGATTAAAAATTAAGCTTTTTAGTACTTTATAAAAACACTCAAGCAATTTATCTTCACTTCCATTCTGTATTGCGGTGGATTTGCAAAATAAATCAGCTGTTGTTTCTTTGAGAAATACTAATTTTTCAACAAGAGCTTGGATGACTTCAATATACACATTGCCTTCCTCTACTCCGAGGTCGTTTATTGTGAATCCTCAGATCATAATATAGATGGCTCATTTATCCATAAGTTTGGAAATTTCAAAAATGGCTTCGTCATTCTTGCTGAATTCTTCAGATGTCATCGAGGAATATCTTCCAAGGGATATGTTTTTCCAGAGAAGAAACAATTTTTGGAGATGAGTCTTTGCCTGCTTTATAAATGGAGCTTTCTTCATAGGAATCTTATTTTTCACTCTGTTGCTTTAGAACCTGTAGATATAGCATGAGGAATCTGTAGAGCTCTTCAATGTTGTCTTCATTAATCGAGCTCAGATTTTCTCAGATGGAATCTAATGAATTAAAGATGTGGTCGGTTAAAGCAGGCCATTTGACTGGGTAATCAAGTCTAACAAATACGCAAATTATATCTAGTGTTTGACTAAAGATGTTGAATGGGAGAGATTTAGGAGCAAGAGGGATTAGAGAGATCAAGTACTTCTTCAATTTCTCTTTCAAGTCGTTATTTGTAAGAACGATAGGCCTTTTCTTTGGATTAGCAGTAGCATTTTTGATAGATCTTGCAAGAGAGTTCTTCATTCAAATAATAGATTGGAGTTGCAAATCCCCCTCTCAATTACTGACCATTTCAGTTAACTGCTCATAATATTTAACTGAATTTCTTTCCCAAGCATGGATCATTGCTATTGACTCTTTAGATGTACTGTTTAAAGCTTCAACTATATTTTCATAGCTAGCTTCAACTTCAGGAACCGAAATATCTTTAAAAGGAGATGCGGCACTCATTTTTAATTTTTTTATAATTTGGCCAATTTCTTATGACGATTCCGGGGTTTTGGGGTTTTGGGGTTTTGGGGTTTTGGGG